TCTATTAATTGTGTACTAATAATTAGTCGTAATCATTGACTTAATTATTAATTATCTTGGTTAGAGGAAATAAATTGAATCCTTTGGTAGTCCGTAGTTAACCTTTGGTACTTAGTATTATTATAATTTCTTTTAATGGTATGTAATAATATTTTTATTAATTGTATACTAATAATTAATAATAATTGTGTTTAGTGAAAATTAGTTGAATTAATCTTTTAAAGCAATAATAATTATTAATTATAGTATGTAGAGGTACAACTTTTAAATAAGGGTAGATCATAAATATAACCTATTAATGCATTGCAACCTTTCAATTTTATTATTATTTTTTTTTCTTTTAGTAAACTATGAGGGTATATTGGGCATATGAGTAAATATGTAAGTGTAAAAGTGGTATTCAAAAGTTTCTCATTGATCCCCACTTTTAATATATTGTAAATAATAGTCATTGAAATTTTTAATGTTTACACTAATAATCATTCGATAAAAAAAAAAAATTACGGTATCCCTATTTTCTCCTCAATTTCTTTCTCAGTTTACTCGAGTATAGCTCATCATAAAACTATATATGAAATAAATTTTGCAAAAAAAAAAAAAAAATGCTGTTGATTTTTCTATGAGTTACTCTAACTCCCCATGTTCATTCTCAATTTCTGCAATTGGCTTTATCTATGGCTCTCCAATAAAGTATGTGTTACGCACCGCACCAAAACACTTCGGCACGCCTCCCCGAACTCACCAAACCACTTCGGCACTCCTGTCCCACTCCTCTACGATGTGCCACGTGTCCCTACGAAGTGGTTCTGAAGTGATGTCAATTTCAACCGAACTCCAACTTACTCATCGCAAGGTACATACTACAAACTAAATCTATTGAAGCAACCGAAGCGCCCCCTGTAATCGAAGCGCTTGGCACTCCGAAGTGCTCCCTTAACAGATCCCTCCGTGACCAATTTCAAAAGTATATCCATGTCAGGATCCTCTATGGTCGTGACATCTCCATATGTTTAATTGATATGACATCAACTTTATGTCAACTCAGGAGAATTAATAATCCGCCCACTCTAGACGGGGCCGATTGACGCATACGAGCTGACCTCTGACGCCGTCAGATGCATACACGTGTCTCACATCTAACGGTGCTCCTCATCTATAAATACTCAAAGTTTGGCAAGAGACAAAGGTAATGATACTCATATTAAACTTAGCTCTCCACATTCAAGCATTATATATTCTCCTCCCCACTCTCTTGCATAATTTCGGCACCGTTCTGATCATCGACCACTGACTTGACCGTCGGAGTGTATGCGGCCGCCGCCACGATCGTGTGTTCCTAACCGTGTGTTGTTGTGCACAAGGAAAAACACGTGGAGTGACTCTCGGTTGGCCATGTGGAGGTCAACAGTATATATTATATATTGATTTACCAATTTGTATTTCTCGCATCATTCTTCTTTATTTTACCCCAACTTCCCCTGATTAATTAAGGTTTTGCATCCCCAAAAGAAATGGAAACAAAGTTAAAAAATGGGCTTGTGTTGTTTTTGGATGTCACCGCATGACAAGCCAGATTATGAAGACTTTCGACTCCTATAACAGCTCTAGAACTTTTTAATGGCTTCTAACAACATCGTTAATAGGGAAAATTGCCCTTCTTGGAGTCTATAGAAGGAAATCCATTTCTCTCAATTGAACGGGCAGAGTGAAAGTAGGGATGGCAGTGGGCCAAGTCGAGCCGGCTCAGTTTGGGCTCGTGGCAAGCCGAGCTCGTGGGCCGAGCCGAACCCACAAGCGGCTCGCGAGTTGGTGATTTTTTTTCTTTGCAAATTTTATTGATAAAATTTTATTTTTTTTCCACATTTTTGGATGAGCCGACTTGTGGGCACGGCCCATGAGCCGCTCAGCGAGCTCGGCTCGTCTCGGCTCGTTGGACAGGACCCCCCGCTCGGCTCGAGAAATGACGAGCCCGAACAGTCCACGAGCCAAGCCGAGCTCGCTTAGCCCATTTGACATCCCTAAGTGAAAGTAATGTGCTCTCTCATTCTCACTCTCACTTCATCAAGAGTTCTTGGTGTCCTCTTGGCTAGAATTTTCATATTCTTGGTGATATTGTTCAGGCAAGGTTCAATTTACTGATGTAGAAGCTTGGTTCACAACTTGCCTAGTTCCGCCATTATAATTTGGAAGACAGACGTTCAATAAACCTCAAGTACTTACAGTGAGTGGGTGAATCTATTTTGCATTGGTATCAATTTGCAGTTTTGTGTCTTATTGTAATAATTTCTTTTGTTCTTCCCTTTATTTATGCGTATGTGTGTGTATATATATCAAGAATGATTTATCGAGCACCAATGCTTATCTTATGTTAAGTGCCAATTACGTGTCACTAATATTTAACATAAGATAAGCAGCGATGTTCGGTAGATCATTACTAATCATAACACTAAGAAATGATCAATCAGTTCACTTTATTAGATTCATTTGTGATTTTGTAATTTTGTAAAATTAGGTTTTTCAAAAACTAATTATGTTAGTTTTTGATTGAGTTGGTTATTTTGGACTTGATTTGTGTTTAATATATCTTGACAATGCTATTAGTGAAATTGCATAATGGTGATTTTTGTTCTTATATCTTTGTATTTGTCAAAGAATTTTAAGGAGCTTCTTGAAACGGAGCATGGAAAAGTTACTTACAATTATGTATCCCATTGTGGTTCAAGATGAATTTTAGGTCAATATTTTTTATTTTCAAATGCAGAAGGTTATGCTGGTTTAAATACTAGATTTTGGCTGAGATTTCCATACTTGCACTCCATTTGATTGTCTAAGTACAAAAATTTCAAAATAAGATAATTGCAAACTAGCCTGATTAATGTGGAAAAATAATAGTTATATGTCAAATTTTGGGTTCTTTTCAATTTTCAAGGTAATTTTATTTAAGCTATCATGCTCGATCGATTAGGAAATTTCGCTATGCTTTCTTTGAACATTTGTATAACAAATTTGAAAGTTTACAATATTTCATATTTAATTATCACGTTATCTAAGTTAGATAAATTTACCATTTAATTATTATGGCTACCTACTACTTATTGTTAGAGTCAATTAAATTATCATATTGCCATGCTCAAAAATTACTTTGTAGTAGATTTCAACATAAATTGTACAGATTAACATTTCCATGTATAGTCACATAAAATGAAATTCCATTTAAAATAAAGTTGGCACAATAAAATCAAATATAAAGCCAATGTCAGACTTGTTCCAACATGCATATCTTATGATAGCGACATAAATTACATGAAATGATATCAATTGGGTAAGAGTTCACGTTAAAGGGCAAAAAAGAAAGGAGGCCAAGTTGGTGAGTCCATTGGAGGAGTGCAATTTAGTCTTTTCGCTTCTTTATTTTGCATTATCAAGAAGGCTGCCACTTGATTTCAGCACGCTGGGAAAACTTTATTTGTGCGAAATGACTTGGAGGACCCCACTCAGTTGAACTTGAAAACGAGTAAAATTATTTTTTTGAATATTAATTATTAATTTATTTGAAAGTGATATTGCAAGATAAATTAAAAAAAGACAAGAAACGTTAAAACATTACGTGAGATTTGAGAGCAACTACATTCTTTAATTGGTTTAGGTTGATTATAAATAATGAATAATTTTGAGATCCCACAGAATTTTCTAGTTTTAATTTGATATTGGATGTGTTCATCGTCGCATTTACTTAAGTTTTTCATTAAATTATTTTATCTATCTTATCAAATACGACATAACTAAGAGTGTGTTTGATGTGTTGAATTGCTTAAGATTGTGATCTCGATTGTTAGCCGATGAATTCAAATTTTCATATAAACATGTTGCAACGTAATATCTTTACGCTTGAAAATGATAATTATTTTAAAGAATTAAGTTAGAGAAACTTTAAAATAATAAAATTATTGTACTCAAATTGAACAAGTAGCTTGTATCTAAAGCAAGTGCAACTAAGTAATCAATTTAAGATGCAAATGGACTTGGAATATTCGAGTAAGAAGAATTTGTATCATCTAAAATGTGTTTACTTTTACTCTTAAATTAGACCATTTCTTGATTTTATGCACATCATTTTCAATAATTTGTTTAAGAACATTAAAAAATAATAGTGCGCAAAGTGCATAGTACACAAGATTACTAACATATTAAAAGAAAGAGGAAAAAATTATTGAAAAATCGAAGATATGTATTATATTACTTATAACTACAAGAAATCAAAGAATATTTCAAAAATAAATAACAATATTTGAAAAACAATTGAAAGAAGCTTTCAAACTTTTTATTCTAAGATAGTTTCTTTTCGGCTAAGGTCAAGAGATTATGTTGGGGATGCATTTGGCTACATTCATGAACGTTATGGATCCTCCAAATGTCAAATATCGTTTAAATTTTATACATTCTTCTTCATTGTTGCAGTTTCGAAAGTGATTAAGAACTAGAGAAAAATATTTCACTCGACCAATGTTGACAAAGAATAAGGCACATAAATTGTCGTTGATTAACTTTTCTTTATATTCTCCTTCTTGAAGCAGGATAATTTTTTATGTTTTATTTTTTATCATTAGGAAAAAAAGAAAAAATAAAGGATTTTGCTATTTGTACGTCAAAATAGTACATAAACGATTACAGAAAAAGAAGTGGAGGGAAAAAATCGAATAAAAAAGTTGATTGTATATAAAATTGGCAAATAATAAAGTGTTATGTGAATATTATGTAATTCTTTATGTACGTATAGTAAGGTTCAAAAATTAAATATAAATCACATGTTATTTTAAATTTTTAATAGTCAAAGAAAGTATATAGGGTTGTTTTTGTAAATTCACGTGAAGCAACTAGTNATAAATCACATGTTATTTTAAATTTTTAATAGTCAAAGAAAGTATATAGGGTTGTTTTTGTAAATTCACGTGAAGCAACTAGTTAACCCTCACATGAATCTGTATATCATATTGCCCACTTGGAAGAAGAGACTCATAATCCAAGCCACCGCCTTTCAACTGTCGGAAACTCAACCCTCCTCCCCCGTCGGCCGGCGGAATATATATACACGAGTACATACAAGTATAACCCAGTACGCAATATTCAAATAACTCTCTCTAGATTATCAAGAAAAAACCAAAACCCTTGAAGAAAATGACTTTGAATCACCCAAAATCATCTGTTTTACTTCACAGGATCAACACCACCACCACCAACACAGCTTCCACCGCCGCTCCTACATGGAATAGACAAGTCCAGCAGATTCCCACCGCCGCCTTGCAGTGGCGAACGCCACTGCCTTGCAGCACCCAAGTCCCAGACCACGTCGCTTGCTACCATACTTACGCCGTGGGCCAAAACCAGTCCTGCTCCGCCGTGATCCAGCAAATAAATGCCCCAGTCGACACCGTATGGTCCTTCGTCCGCCGCTTCGACAAACCACAGGCATACAAGCACTTTGTCAAGAGTTGCAACGTAACCGTCGGAAACGGTGACGTAGGCACCATCCGGGAGATCCACGTCATATCCGGTCTCCCCGCTGTGAACAGCACTGAGCGCCTTGAGATCCTCAACGACGAACACCATGTCATCAGCTTCAGCGTCGTTGGTGGCGACCACCGCCTGGCTAACTATCGCTCTGTTACCACCCTACACCCAGCAGCGGATGGCGGCGACGAGACAATTGTCGTGGAATCCTACCTTGTTGACATACCTCAAGGTAACAGTACAGAAGAAACAAGCGTCTTCGTGGACACCATTGTTAAATGTAACCTCCAGTCACTTGCACAGATCGCTGAGAATTTAGCCCGACAAAATGTTTCTGTAAAGAAAAATGTCCAATCGGTTTAAAGTTCAAAATTGTTCATCCACCTATTCAAAGATTCTTTTTTTAGATCTCGGCTACACAATTATCACATGCACTCGCATTCGCATTCGCATCCGCATCCATAGGTCTGCATTCTGATATCAGATTTATCTGCCAATCAGCAACATCTTCTGGTACAGGAATAAATCCCTAGAAGCCTTGTTTGTGTTGATACTTGACATGTAACGCACAATTAATGTTTTGTTTTCATGAATCATGAATGTTTGCCTTTTTGAGGTTGTTATTAATTATCATTGTTCGTCCAAGAAATTCATAGTTTTTATTTATTTATTTATGTTTGTAATTTGTGGAATGATATTAATTTTTCCTAGCTTTTAGAAAAATAATGTGCTTGCTTTAAAAGATTCAATGCTTATTCATTTTTGAACTCATGGTACATTATTCTTTGTATGTATATATATGATCAGAAAACAAATGAATTGATTACATATATATTGTTTATAATTTTTATTTTTATTTTTATGTCAATTAAAATTGAAATGGCCAACCTTTCGATATGCAAGTGGTTAAGGCGGCCGTGATGCTGCTAATTGGTAGCTAAGCTTGGAACTCTAATGAGATTAATTTATATAATCCCACGTTCCATTGTCTGCTGATATATTATTCCTATTGGAGATTTGTTATAAACCACTTGTTTTAAGATGCACTTAAATGAGTTCAATAATTTATGATAGTGAAAATCCTCGTATAAAATGATTAAAACATTGGATGTTTTACTTCAATTTTGGCGGTGCATTTGTTTATATATGTTAGCATGGCCACTCGAACATGAAACATGAATTAATAAGGATTAACACGAAAATTATTTAAATTTCAAAAAATTTTCATTTTAATTCCATCAGTACGAACATAAGAATTTATTCGATATATTTTTTTCTTTACATTTTTTGCAAAAAAAATAAAAAAATAAAAAATAAAACTTGTTTACTATAGGATCTTTATTAGTTGCTAAAAGTTAATATGATTTTTTACTTCATTTAATATAAGCCCATTTTGCTTAAGTAGAATTAATAGCTATTGAGTATTTTTTTAGTGGGAAAAAAGGTCTACAACCTAGAAATTTCTAATATTGAGAAGTATATATAGTCCTTGTTTAGTATTGATTAAAATCTATTAAAAATTTAATTTTAATCTCCACCAAACAATAATATTCATGTTGCCAACAAAAAAACTTATAATAGCACCACTTCTTGTACAGACGGCTTACAGAATACACACAGTGAAGGTGAAATTTTTTTGACAGCATTTTATTTATATGGAGTCCACTTTCATATGAGTATATGTAATGATTATGTGAAGGATGATTCTATACAAATGAAGAATTTCAACTACTAAATATGTGATGGGAATCAACAGCTAACCCTACAACTTGGAGTTTTGGTTAGACCAACTTGCAACTTGCAATTTGTTTTATTAAAAGTATATGCAAGTTGGTCATTTGTTTGTTTGTACAGTGAATTTGAATAAAAAGTAGATAGAATAGGACGGCATTGG